GTACAGGTACAGGTACAGGTACAGGTACAGGTACAGGTACAGGTACAGGTACAGGTACAGGTACAGGTACAGGTACAGGTACAGGTACAGGTACAGGTACAGGTACAGGTACAGGTACAGGTACAGGTTCAGGTACAGGTACAGGTACAGGTACAGGTACAGGTACAGGTACAGATACAGGTACAGGTACAGGCACAGGTACAGGTACAGGTACAGGTACAGGTACAGGTACAGGTACAGGTACAGGTTCACCTACACCTACACCTACACCTACACCTACACCTACACCTACACCTACACCTACACCTACACCTACACCTACACCTACACCTACACCTACACCTACACCTACACCTACACCTACACCTACACCTACACCTACACCTACACCTACACCTACACCTACACCTACACCTACACCTACACCTACACCTACACCTACACCTACACCTACACCTACCCCTACCCCTACCCCTACACCTACACCTACACGTAAGCTGATATCTTCCTATGTTTTCAGGGCTGCCAAGACCTCTGTGTTTCTCTATCCACATGTATATCGTACGTCTTCTACCTGGGAGAATGTGTTGTATCGGAGGTTGGCGTGGACGGGGCTATGGAAACCAATGGTTTTGGATATGTCGTATGTGGTGAGCACATCAATCACGCTGATTACTCTCTGGATACGTCTCTGATGTTGATGTATAGGGGAGGGAGGGATTCCTTTCGTAAGATAAAGCCGCATAAATTTGGCTTGAGGTTATAATTTTAGTGGAATAAGACGGTAACTGGGGAATTGGCCGACCCCGTAGAGTTTTAACTGAAATCAATGCAACTCCTGGTTTGCGACAATATATTAGTGCAGTACTATGTGATTATAAGAAATTTTAGGTTTTTCATTTCTTATGTGGCATATATATATATATATATATATATATATATATATATATATATATATATATATATATATATATATATATATATATATATATATATATATATATATATATATATAATATTTCCAAACATAGATGCCATACGGCCAACAACTGCTTTAACAACCACGGGTAAGTCAATAATATCCTTACGTATTATGTGAGGTTGATGATACCCTGATAGATTTATTAGCAAATTTGTACGACCCAGCTACCATGTGATTTATATGTTTGAGTTACTATTAGTGATGTGATTTTTTTGTAACTTTATCCACAGCAGGGAGCACCACCCGCAGAACACCTAAGTAAGTAGCAGATGATATTTTAATGTATTGAATGTTTTTTCATCCTCAATTAACATAACATTACTATAGAGATACATTTGGGTCAGTGTCTTAACAAAAAATGATTACTTTATTTTTACACATCGATTCGCCCCTTAGAGGTATCCATGTGATTAATATTCTTTAATCATTACTTGGAAAAAAAAACACATTACAAGTCTAAGCATGTTTGATTCAATAAAGAACAAAATAAGGAAATAGAATAAATATATTTTATATTCGTATTTTTTCTTTATTGTATCAAACATTCAAACATTAGACTGTATTGTTTTGTTATGGGTTTTTTTTTGTAGCCTTTATCACATGTTGTTTTATAAGTAAACATCCGCTTGTTTTCATCATCTTTCACCAGACACCACCACTGCAAGCACCGTAAACAAAACTAAGGTAATGTTTACAAAAAAACAATTGCTTAAAACTAATGTGTATATATATAACCAATTACTTAAAACTAATTTTACAAAAACCAAATGATTAAAACGAATGTTACATATAGCCAATTACTTAAAACTTCTGCTGCTCTACGCCAATGAAAATTTTAGGAAATGCATTCGCTTACCCAAATAATCCTGATAAAGCATTTCAAACATGGCGATGATGTAAGAAACAAAACATCACAAGCTCTTATTCTATGGCTCGAATATGTGAGTCCGCTCAGTTAGTTTAAACAAAGGCGGCTCGGCATAGTGCTGGTCACACCATCCCCCTCCGAAATATTTTACAACGAGCCGACTCGCGTTGTATCATACGCCGCTATTTAGTTGTTGTTTTTTCTACTTCTCAGTAATGCATAATTTGTGAATTCGACAGTACCAATGCTGCCACCGAAAATATTTGCTTTAAAACACTAACCCCCCCCCCTTCCCCTCCCCCCCCCCCCCCCCGCTCCTCCCCCGTGAAAGCAGCCTCTTCTTAGTTACCTCCTCTAAGTTTAAAATGGTTTCAAACTAAATTATCTGCCCCTTATAGCCGTCACCAAACCCGGCTCTACGATTGTATTATGTAAACATTTAGCGTGAACCACAGCTCACCAGACCATGTGAGGTTGGGGGGGATGGGGGGTGTGGTGTGGTAGCGATAGAGACGAAGAGAGGGGACTGCAAGGCGCGCTTGCAGCTTGTTTTCTGACGTCTCCCAGAAGAGAATTATATATATAGATAGATCTGCCCCATGTGACTCGGGTACACACTGAAAACCATAGTCCCGAGCTAACCCGATGCAGGCGAGGCTCAAAAGCTTAGAACAGCAACCCACCTAAGAGAGAAGACAGACTCCAAAATAATTAAAATTTGTAGTTTTTTCTTGGTTGGTCAAAGGCTATTGAGGTGAAACCATGAACGAAAGAAGACTGAAATCGGAGTCAACGGCCCATATGGTGCATACAATGTTTATACGTAATACTCAATTATTTTGGAGGGAATATCTTCCAATTCTGAACGAAGAAGAGAAAGAATCTTGTTCAAATCCGTATTTTATAATGTAATAATCTTTTTTCGGAATACGCAGTTCTTTTTTGATTCAGCAATGTCTCTTTTGCGTAGATTAGCTAGAAGTAGAAAATCGATGTTTCGATACATATTGAAAGAAAACTACACCTCTCAATCTCTATAAACTTTAGAAAACGACTCTAAAGTAGAAAATATATGTTTTTACTTCCTTAATTGTTTACGAATTATTTTTTTTTACAGGCGTTTCACCGTGGATGAAGCCAGTGGCGTAGCGAGGTCGGGTGTCACCCGGTGCGGCACTTAATGGTGTCACCCCCAGCAGAGGCGTAGCGACACTTCCCGATTTGCAACCCCCCCCCCCTTCAAACTTTCGATTTGCACCCCCCCCCCCTCAATCTTTCTATCTGCAACCCCCCCCCCCCTCCCCCTCAAATTTTTCTCTATATATTGGTTATTTTTTTGCCTTGGTGTCAACCCCCTAAATCGTGTCACCCGGTGCGGTCAGCACCCCCGTTCCCCCTCGCTAAGCCTCTGGATGAAGCATCTCTTTGACGTCTAAAGTTTAATGAACAGTGCCATCCTAACTTTAGGACATAAAATTTTTAAAACAAATATGTTTACATAAACTTATCCTAGAACGGAAGCCAGCAATAAAAAGTCAGTTATTAAAAAAAATAATGAAGTAAATGAACAACCTTTTATTCTAGATAATTTAAGTGAATGTCAGGTTATTCGTTTAATAACAAGAAAAACTTCTCTTTTATTGCTCTTTTGGGTCAATAAAGTCATCTATTGAAAAATGACGTATGATTGTTTTTGTTTGTTTTTTACTTTCTCATATATACGAAGTATAGAGAAAGTATTGTAATCGTGCACAAAAATCACTTGAAATTTTCTGTATATTCACGCTCCTCATCTCCATATGCCAAACAATCTATACACACACACATATATATATATATATATATATATATATATATATATATATATATATATATATATATATATATATATATATATATATATATATATATATATATATATATATATGTATATATATAATTAAGCAACTAAATCGGGGAGGAGCGGTCACTGAAAGTATAAATTTAGTACATACATTATATGTCGTTCGGGGGGGGGGGAGGGTGTCCGGTAGACGTGCTTCGAGAGGGGCTGGCGGTGCCCCCCCCCCCCTCCCCCCTCCCGCCTGTAGTGAGTTGGTAATGCTTTTTTTTTCGTTAATTGAACAAACTGTTTGTGATAGTTATAATATAGTACAAAAATAACGTTTTACTCCAATATATTACATTATGGAACTGTGATTAAAACCTCTTGGTGACCGTCTCTTTCGATGAAATCTCGCAACAGCACATTAATTGAATTAGACAGTTTGTTTCATATGTGCATTCAAATAATGTGGCAATAGAATTTATTCAAGGTTTTTTGTTTTTTAGTCACACTGTACTGTTTTATAGGATAACAAAACGTTGTTAAAGTGTAGTAAAAATTCAACAAAACCATTCTTCATCAATGTATATATATATATATATATATATATATATATATATATATATATATATATATATATATATATATATATATATATATATATATATATATATATATACATATACATATACTTATATATATATATATGGACAACTTTACTCAATCAGCTAACTGTGACCTAACATTTCACCCGAATGTCCAGCTTATATACAGCAATTTGTATAACAAACTTAAAGACTAACTTTATTTGTAATTAGATTTCAAAGTAGATATTTTTGTTTGTCACGGGAGAAAAATTATCTAGAAATCTTGAACGAAATTGCTGCATAAGAAGTGGGTTAAAATCAAGTTAGAAGATTGTCCACATCCCACAAACAAGGAGGCTATTGTATCTAAAGTTAGAAAGAAATCGATTCATAAGCAGTGAATTAAAACCAAGTTAGAAGATTGCCCACATCCCACAAACTAACGAAGAGACATTGTGAACGCAATTAAAGACCTCTTATAGAAACGAATCTTGTAAACAGAACTCGAGAATTTACTGTTACTAATCATTCGCTCGGCAGAGCCACACCACACGTTAAATTAAATAAAAATTAAATTAACCATAATACTTACATCAATAAAAGTACGGCGTGACCTAAGCGGTAGAGCACTAAGATGTTAATCCAAATTAGTGCTCGGCCATGAAAGATTTATTTTGTAAAGCTGATTGGCTGAATCGGTTACACGTCTGACTTGATGCATGGAGGGCGAGGCGATTTGGTGCCGTGTGGAATGGTGGGTTCGGATCCCGTCTGGGTTCAGACTGTTCTGTATTTACTTGGACTATATTCTGTACCTTTTGTCTACCTTTCTGTTTACATTCTGTTTACATTGCTATTTCAGTTTGAATATGGGTCCACTTTAGTAGAATGTCCTTGATGGGTATCTGTTAGGGAAAATAAAGACGGCTGGGCATAGTAGTGACTAAACGTTTCCTTCATAAGCCGAGATTAAGAAACACATAAACTCTACTTCATCTACCCGATGGATTGCTAGGCCTATAGACGGTACTTTACTTTGACTACAACAGTATGATTCATTTTACGGCGTGGACAATCTAAACATGACGGGGATTAGGAGCTGGACCGATCAAAGTATTAGAGCTATGTTGCAGTGTTTGTAAAACACCAGAGCGTACTTAACTAACCTTGTACGGTATTATTACCAAATGTTACACTAATTTATCTTATAGCTGATTTTAAAGCATTGTTCACTCTTTGTTTAGTGCGCGACCTATTTTATATTCAGCAAAGTACTTTTTTAAACTTACTAAAAACGAAATGTAGGTCGATTGGTATTTACAAGTCAAAATACATTTTAAAAGGGTTAATAGTGTGTAGAGGTTTTTATCACAGTTCCCCATTATAATATTTTGGAGTAAATCTTTAATGCTGCACTTTAATTTAACTTTCAGCTGAATGTGAAATTTATATGTTTATCGCTGCTTGGGTTGACTCCAATGATTAGTTCGCTAAAGCCAGATAGCAGCTGACTTAAAATGTTAAGCTAACATGGCTCACCATATCTAACTCTGATACTTTTCGTAGCTTTAATTTCTTAAACAAATTGGTGGAACTTTCCCTACCCCTCCACCCCAAAGCGATTATACTAAATAAACAGTTAAGAACAAACTAAAATTAAATCATTATTTTTTTAAATGGTGCCCTACTTAACTAATCAACATCATCTTTTTTTTCCATTCGTGCCCAAGACACATGGGGTAGATGAAGTAGAGTACATTTCCTTCAGAGAACTCGGCATTTTGAGGGGATAGTGTGGTCAGCACTATGCTCAGCAACCTTTGTTTCCCAAACGTGAGTTGGGTACCCATCAGAGCTGGGTGGAGAGACTAGAACCCGGATTCAAACTCGAGACTTTCAGGTAAGCAGTTTAGCGCTAGGCTACGCTAATTAAATAAATAAATAAAGAAATATATATATATATATATATATATATATATATATATATATATATATATATATATATATATATATATATATATAAAGTGTGCTTAAAGAAGTGCATGGTCTGATTGATTTTAGATCATATTCTGATACTTCTCTGTTCACTCTCTAATTAATTTCTCTGAGAAGTTTGTTGTTTACTCACTGTTTCTTTCAGACATCTCTGATACACCACCCCCACCCTCCTTCGAAGCAAGTCTACATTTACCCTAGCTTCTGTTGCAAACAGTAAAAATAAAGGTAAATCCTTTTTAATGACTGTTGTAGAGCTCCTTTGTTGTTATTGTAAAAACTAAAAGAAATATAAAAAAACCTCTATAATTAGCTTTTAATGTATCGTCTCCGGATAGCTGACCTATCAATGGCTAGTATTTTAGTATTAAATTTAGTTTTCTCAATGTTTTAGTAAAGTATTGAATTAAACTGTAATCATTAATCTAATGTTTAATTAGATTAAAAATTCGATTCTCGTGAATTTTCATTGCAGATGGGTGTATATGAAATTTGAAAGAAATCGCTGCATTAGAAGTGAGTAAAAACTGAGTTACAAGATTTGTCACAAATCCACAAAAAGACGTTGTTAACTAAACAAAAGTTTATAAAACGCGAACTTCGTTATATACGGAACTAAAACAAATTGGATAAATTGTTGCTTTATTAAAACGTTTTGGAAAATTTAAAAATACATTCTAAACTTGCGTTACGTCATTATTTAGCAAATTTAAATTAACACCTAGACAGGTATTATAACTGTAAACAAAACAAAATTAAATTAAAATCTGTAATAATTTGATTTTGCCAAATTTCGTCGTGTGAGACGGTGACCAAGAGATTAAGACAATATAATCAGATTGATGGTGATGGAAGGTGGTGTCTTGATGTTGGCGTCTGTTTCTGTAATCAAATCAGAAAATCAATAACCAATCAATGAATGTTATAATGTTATGTAGAACGTTTTAATGTGTATTTTAAAAAATCACCAAAGGTAAAAGATAAAAATAAATATACGTGATTTCCTACCTAAGTCAGTGAAAACTGTATTGGATGATTTCAAACACAATTTATGTCCAAATAGAAGGAGTTTTCTGAAAGTGACAAAACGATAAACTTGTTAATTTGTGTCAGTTGATGAACAGTTGTAACTAGAAAATATTTGACCCATTTGATTTCCATTTTGAAATCTGCGATTGCAAATGTTATTTAATATCCAACTTTTACCCCACACGTTTGTTCTTGTCTTAATCCTCATTTCTCCCTGTGGAGTATAGGGCAACAACAAATCTGTTGTTATTAGTATTTAAATATATGTTTTGCCATGCCTCCAAACATTGAGGTAACTCATGCGCGAAAATTTACTACATTGTCCTTCATGAAGTGTATAGTGAAGGACTGATAAGTCTTGGGATCTACATCAATAAATACAAAATTTGTAGGCAAATCACGTTGTTCTGTTTGTATACTAACAATGTTCAGCCATTGAAATGCAGTTTTTATATTATTATTTTCTCAAATCTGACTCACATAAGTTAGACCATTAGTCTAAGCCAACTGTGCAGTCCCCTCACCCACCCCCCAGAGAAAAATACCATCATAGATATACCGTGTTATTTCAACGCCCGAAACAGAGGTTTTATGAAAATTAGTATTAATATCGATGATGCTTTCATTTATCTTCTCGAGATAATTTGGAAGTACATATTAACGTAATAATATATCAAATAATACATGAGTGTGTAAAATTACTCAGGGGCGTAGCGAGGGGGGGGGGGGGGGGGGCGGGGGTGCGGACCGCACCGGGAGATCCCATTTAGGGGGGTGACACCAAGGGAAAAAAAATAGCAAAATATATAGAGAAAAACTTGGGGGGGGGGTGCAAATCGAAAGTTTGAGGGGGTGCAAATCGAAAAATTGAGGGGTGGTGCAAATCGAACGTTTGAGGGGGGGGGGGGTGCAAATCGAAAACTTGAAAGTTTGTCCCCGGGAAGGGTCGCTACGCCTCTGGGGGGTGACACCATTAAGTGCCGCATCGGGTGACACCCGACCTCGCTACGCCACTGAAATTACTACAAGGAGGTTTATACTACCGGCTTATGGACTTAGTTGTTGTAATGACTCAAATGAGGTAGTAAAATGTGTATAAAGGTTGAAGTCCAAAGTTATGTGATTTGCCCTAGATTATTGATAAGTTAAACAATATTCAATCATTTCCATATTCATTTCTAGGTTGCCGAGAATGTAAATTAAATATAGTCTAATATTTGACAAGAAAATACATACAAGAGAGAATTGTTTTCAGTATTTTGGGATGTAGGTCCAGTGTCCGTGGTTGTTGATGTATCGCTTGGAACTATGGTTGTGGGTGTAGGTCCTGGATCTCTGGTTGTAGGTCCCGGGTCTGTGTTTGAAGGTCCTGGGTCTGTGTTTGTAGGTCCCGGGTCTGTGTTTGTAGGTCCTGGGTCTGTGTTTGTAGGTCCTGGGTATGTGTTTGTAGGTCCCGGGTCTGTGGTTGTAGGTCCTGGGTCTGTGGTTGTAGGTCCTGGGTCTGTGTTTGTAGGTCCTGGGTCTGTGTTTGTAGGTCCTGGGTCTGTGGTTGTAGGTCCTGGGTATGTGTTTGTAGGTCCTGGGTCTGTGTTTGTAGGTCCTGGGTCTGTGACTGTAGGGTCTGTGACTGTAGGGTCTGTGACTGTAGGGTCTGTGACTGTAGGTCCTGGGTCTGTGACTGTAGGGTCTGTGACTGTAAGGTCTGTGACTGTAGGTCCTGGGTCTGTGACTGTAGGGTCTGTGACTGTAGGTCCTGGGTCTGTGACTGTAGGGTCTGTGACTGTAGGGTCTGTGACTGTAGGGTCTGTGACTGTAGGGTCTCTGACTGTAAGGTCGGTGACTGTAGGGTCTGTGACTGTAGGGTCTGTGACTGTAGGGTCTGTGACTGTAGGGTCTGTGACTGTAGGGTCTGTGACTGTATGGTCTGTGACTGTAGGGTCTGTGACTGTAGGGTCTGTGACTGTAGGGTCTCTGACTGTAAGGTCGGTGACTGTAGGGTCTGTGACTGTAGGGTCTGTGACTGTAGGGTCTGTGACTGTAGGGTCTGTGACTGTAGGGTCTGTGACTGTAGGGTCTGTGACTGTAGGGTCTGTGACTGTAGGGTCTGTGACTGTAGGGTCTGTGACTGTATGGTCTGTGACTGTAGGGTCTGTGACTGTAGGGTCTGTGACTGTAGGGTCTCTGACTGTAAGGTCGGTGACTGTAGGGTCTGTGACTGTAGGGTCTGTGACTGTAGGGTCTGTGACTGTAGGGTCTGTGACTGTAGGGTCTGTGACTGTAGGGTCTGTGACTGTAGGGTCTGTGACTGTAGGGTCTGTGACTGTAGGGTCTGTGACTGTATGGTCTGTGACTGTAGGGTCTGTGACTGTAGGGTCTGTGACTGTAGGGTCTCTGACTGTAAGGTCGGTGACTGTAGGGTCTGTGACTGTAGGGTCTGTGACTGTAGGGTCTGTGACTGTAGGGTCTGTGACTGTAGGCTCTACGACTGTTATATCAGTTGTCTGAAATGTTGGTTCGGGTTTCGTGGTATCATCTATAGAACTGGACATCACGTCCACTGAAAAAAAAATGATTTGAGCCGCGTCATGATTTGAATATAACAGCCCTGTTACGTTTGATGTATTTACGTACATAATACGCTTCAAACCTCTTATGGTTGACGATAGATAGGAGAGAATAAACGAAATAAATGATAATTATCCTATAGATTACTTGAAATATTTACGACACATTTTCAGCACAGATATTTAATAAAACAACATATAAAATACATTGAGTTGTGTGCTAAATTTTAAAATATATTACCGTGATGTTAGTGGCGTTTTGCTGCACTTCAGATGCATTACCATAAACTAAACATTGTCCTGGGGGAATTAGAAAGCCAGTCATAAGTTAAATAATGCAAGAACATCAAGTATGAATTGTTTTAATTATAAACATAGGGATTCTCCAGTTTGATATAAATAAAATTATTTTAAGTTTACGATTTTTTTTTCAGACATCCCAGACAAAATATCTTAATGACAAATCTCGAGACTAATAATTTCAGACAAAGTAGGCCTATCCCAGATAAAATATTTAACGGACAAAATATCTCAAGGAAAAAAATATTCAAGAACAAATGTCTCTATATAATCTAAAAGCACAGTTGAATACCAGACGAACCCTTTTGTCCAGAGGCGTAGCGAGGGGGGGGGATGCGGACCGCACCGGGTGACACCATTTAGGTGTGTCTAGTCATTCCCATCTTTCCCACAACTGTATCTCAACAGTAAAGATTTGGTTACCAGATGTAATAGAAACACTCCCAGCAGTCATTGCGGGTGATAAAACTGCTACTGAAAATTGAATACAGCGCAAACTGTTATAAAACAACGCGTGACTTGCCTGAGCTAAATGTTCGTATACATTATTAAGTTAATCAGAGGCGTAGCAAGGGTGGGGCGGGGTGCGCATCGCACCGGGTGACACCATTTAGGGGGGTGACACCAAGGCAAAAAATAGCAAAATATATAGAGAAAAACTTGACAGGGGGGTGCAAATCGAAAGTTCGACGGGGGTGCAAATCGAAAGTTTGAGCGGGGGGGGGGGTGCAAATCGTAAATTTGAAAGTTTGTCCCCGGGAAGGGTCGCTACGCCTCTGGGGGGGGGTGACACCATTAAGTGCCGCACCGGGTGACACCCGACCTCGCTACGCCACTGCTTTTGTCAATTCCATTTCGTCATCTATATAACATGGTGGTCTATTGGGCAAAGGAAGTAGAGTTCACCTGTTTCTCTGACCTCGGTGTATGAATGGATACTGTAGTCAGCACTAAGCCCAGCCGCCTTTACTTTCCCTAACGTTAGATAGGTACCCATCAGAGTTGGGTGAACTCAGTGACGTTCTACTGACTTGAATACGAATTCGAACTCGTGACTTGCGGGTTAGCAGTCTATCAAACATCACGATTAATTAAAACAACTCACCCCCTCTAGGCGGGCAGCTAACGTAAACTTTAGTTTCTTGTGGAGAGGTTGTGTCAACGACGTTTATCATTTCAAAATGGCTGCAGTCTTTGACAAACGAGTAGGCGAAACACCGAGGTTTGGCTGCACATGATTCTATACAATCCTAGAATGGGTACAAATGAGGGGGAGGGGAGATATTTGGTTAGAGCTCATAAAAAACAGTGAGACGAACAGAGTTTCTTTCAGGTGACGCTTATGGTGTGAGAAGTAGCTCTACCCCCACCCCCACCCTTTTCCGTCTCTCCCTTACCCCTAAACCCGGACATTTTTACAAGAATATAATTTGGATATAATATTAACTTTCAAATAGAGTCCGCCCCCATCTTTGAAATTTTAAATCCGCCATCATCCCCACTTCACCACCCTCAAAGTTTTAACTGCCTGCAAAGTGTCTAAAAGAAACCCTTTAGCCGGTAAGCTCGTATTCTACTGGACTAATTGCTCACGCACATTACTCATATCGAGGAGACCAAAGTAGGCTAAGCTTCTTGCTTTGAATAGAATCAAACAAACAGATAAACTCGACATTCAACTTTTCAATGAACCGTCTAATCAGAAATAATATTATACTGAACTCAATTAGCTTCATACTTATCAGTGGCGTAGCGAGGTCGGGTGTCATCCGGTGCGGCACCCCCTAGAGGCGCAGCGACCCTTCCCGGCGCCCGCGGACAAACTTTCAATTTTCAATTTGCACCTCCCCCTCAACTTTCGATTTGCACCCTCCCCCCCCCCCCCCCCCCCAAACTTTTGATTTCCACCTCACTTTTTAACACTCGAATTAATCACTTAATTAAGTGGAATTATCATTTTCTCTGAACATTTTGCTATTTTTCGGCTTGGTTTAACCCCCACTAAATGGTGTCACCCGGTGCGGTCCACCCCGTCCACCCCCCCCCCCCCCGCTACGCCACTGATGCTTAGGATTCATAACTTACAACAAAATGTCCTATTCATCAAATATTTCAGATATTTAAAGAGTTAGCATCATAAGTAAAAATTGGATATAGAGAATAAGTAATGTAAATTTATACCTTGTGGGTAGTGGAGTTTTTAATTGATACAAAACTCAGCTCTCTATAAGCCTCACAATCTGTGTAGAAAAAATTTAAAAAAATATATATATATATTATATATATATATATTGGCCTATATATATATATATATATATATATATATATATATATATATATATATATATATATATATATATATATAATACTCAATAACTTTTCAATCACTTTATTAAGTAAAAGAGTAGGCCGATATAAAGCCTATAATTGTGTTATTACCGTGTGCATCAGCTGAATGGATCAGAGCGAAGAATGTAATAATTGCAAGTATCCATTGTATCGCCATTCCGCTAATGAATTTGTACTTCTTGAAATATAGATCTACATGATATTACAAAAGGCACATTATTAAACAATTACTCAAATACAACTTGTTTAACTGATAAAATTAAAATAAATGTTTGTCTAGAATAAGATATAGGCCTATTTATTACTGTTTTAGACGGAACGCCCGTGTAAAATATATGACAAACAGAACTCACAGTGTAGCTGTCCCGATTCTTGTTGGTGGGTTATGCTACACTCATATGATTTGGTGCGGCAGTGAATGAAGTTCCCAGTTTATAAAGGACAGAGCGACCATCATATGTTGGATGTGAGTTATAAAAATTTGACATGTCGTGGTAACACGATGACGAATAAGTCACAGCTGTTCTATGTAACCAGATTTAGAGCAGAGAAAAAAAGGTAAAAATGAAGTTATTTATTGTATAGGTCAATCCAATGATTGTATAATGTGTTTCATTAACTTAAGCAAATGTGTATCAATAATATTTGTGTTTTTGTTTAAATAAATCAATGAGTGTGATGAATAATTTGTTTTCACACGTTACCACTTATCAAAATGAGATTACGAAACAAATCTAAAGAGTCGTCCATAGGCAAATATTTATAAAAATGTTTATATCCTAGGTCACCATTGTTGGACCTAAAATCCAGGATTCTGTTGATAATAATTTGTGACTATGTATATTTATGGATGGTTTTGTAAAACGTCTACGCTAGTTATGAATCATTAATCAATCGCCGTTTACTATACGTTGAGAATTGTTTTAACACTCAACTCACGAACAGTCTGTAGTCAAGAGTATTCATTTAAAACATTTGCGTAAATATACATTTTATAAAGCAGATACTGACTTCAGTGCTATTAAAACAATGTAACATATTGTTTCGTAGCGTGGTCGTTAAAAGATGAATATGGCCAGATGTTACTCATGTATCAGACTCCCCCCCCCCACCCTCGCCCTCTCTCCGCGCACCTGATTGACCCAAGGGACGTTACCTATACGATCAACAGCGTCGCATGGGCTGTCGATGGGTAACCAGAGCTAGTAATCCTATCGCTTAAGGTGCTACACTCAGTGTTTCTTCCAGACTTTTTTTCTCCGGAGAGGGGTGGGGGGGGGGGGGGGGTACTTGATATTTTCACAGTGTGGGGGACTAAATTTTCCGAGGGGGGAGCGGACACAGGTAAAAGTATATACTTTTTATATAAATTTCCATTTCGTTTGGGGGGAGTAGGGGCGGTAGACTTTCTTCGTGGAGATGCCTAGAAGAAACACTGGCTACACGCTTGGTGGGTTTCGGAGTTTCCCTCCTAGATGTGTTGCTGTCTCCAGCTAACCTCATCTGCCCGGGGGAGAGGCAGAGAGTGATCCGACAAATTTGGGGCCCCCATAGATAGCTGGCGCCGTGTTTAGCGACGCCTCTCATTGTGTGAGCCCTGGCTATCTCATGCCACGGAGGTTTAAAATGTCATTTAGTACATAAATGTCTCTAACTCGTTCAGTCAAAATGTCATTTAGTACATAAATGTCTCTTCTTAGTTCAATGTTTTAAAAGTACTAGAATGTAAATGTGTAATTTAATGGTGTTTGGAAAAAAAAAACGTATAACCATAACTGTCAATAATCTATGTATAGTTTTTCTTAATATGATGTGTATGTCAGCTTATGTCAAGGTATACACACAAAATGTGGTAGAGCTAGAGTATCACAGGCGATGTTGTACAATACTTTTAGATAATTGAACGTTCTAATGTAAGATAAAAGGATCGAGTGTTGTAAACATAGTCATCACTATGACTAATGTCTGTCCTTAAACTCTCTAGTTTCCTTTCGACAGCTCATGCCACGCTGCTGCTTGTATAGGTAACGTCTTTAAAGTCATCATTTTTTCTCTTTCTCTATCTATATATATAAAAAGCAATGTATGTGTGTCTGTGTGTCTGTGTGTCTGTGTGTCTGTCTGTCTGTGTGTCTTTTATGCATTACCACACCACTTATCACATCGCCGTGAAACTTCGGGAAGTTGTTGAGAATATTCCTGGGGAGGTTTCTACGAAAAGAAAAATTCAAATTCGCAGGGGTGGCGCCCCGGCAGGGCGCGATTTGTTTTTTCTCTATATACGGTGTATAAAAATAAAAGTCTATTTTGATTTCACACTGTACATCCGATAGGCA